AAGGGCAGGGTGACCAGCCGCAACCCTAGACACACACCCCCAACCAAACTGAGGCCTTGGGAGGCTTAACCATTTATAAACTATGCGATATCCCAGTTGTTAGCGTATATCACATAAGACCTTGCATTTATATTCTGGGACCCAGTTTTCTATATCTGTTTAACTCATCTGCCACCGTTTATTATTGCTTGTTTCCATTATGACATTGACGCGTTGAATAAACTTTTAACAATTAATCCGATATCATATCAATCCATTCGGGAGTGTTTGTACTTTTTATATATTATGTCACCGTAATTATTTGTAAAACCACGTTCAACATCACTACTGCCGCCAACAGCCGTCTTTTCTACCCAGACCGTGCGTCTAGACTAACGGGGCCCTATGTGGTTCGCCACTCCAAGTCCCGGGGCTTAGTTACTGGTTTCCATCATTGAACAGCAGGTCTTTATGAGTATGAGGCCAGTCCTGTCTACCGTTCATCACACACTGGTTTGTAATAAAAAAAAGATTAGCAGGATCGGTATTTGCTATTGATTGTCGTGTTACGTTTCGTTATATTCGTCCTACCGCTTGTAGTCGTTTCGCGCTATTAGTTGTATATCCACCATAAATTTCAATAAGTGCGTTTCAAATTTCCAAAGTTAACTGAACGACAAAATGTCTATTTCTTCCATTTCTGACGATAAAAAAATTAACTGCGATGATGATGATGATGATCCGATCCACAGCACATTTCTCAATCAGATATTCGAAGTTGTGATCTACGGTTTTATTTATCGGTGACGAGTGTGCAAAGTGTGTGGATTCACTCACATATTTCCCAGTGTCACGCACGCGAGCAAGGACGAGAAGGAGTGTCGCCGAGACTCCATTTGTGATCCATGTTTTGTGGCCATCAATCGTGTACANTTGATCATTCTCACTTGGGACAGCTTCTGTAAGAATGGCGTTCAGATCACTGCCACTGTATGAAAAAACGGGGAACGAAAAACATTATACGGCAAAAAAGAGTATCTAACAGAATTGTGCAACGAACGGAGGTGCAAAACGTGCCCGTTGAGAGAACTGCTGTAAACATTTAAGCAGGATGGGACGTGTCCGATCAATAGTAATAAGTTCCTTCAATTCCCGCTTTTACCAGTATTTATCAGTATTTAGAATAGATAACGACCAGTCAATGGTTGTTAGTAAGTGAGATAGTAGGACAGCGAATGCAGACTTCGAAAGCATGAAACATAGGTCGGGAGTGTGCATCCTGTTCCACAAAGAGTTGTTACAGACGACGGCAATTGTTTCGGCTCTCCGTTATGTGAAACGCGCCAGGTTGGCAATAGACAAGTCACAGTTCGGTTTAGACAAAACAACAATTAAGCATGCCACTGTTTGCAATGATTTAGGTTGCTGTGTTTTGGCCACTCATTTGAATATAGAAATGCAGGAAAGAAGTAAGATCCTGAGAGCAATAAAAAGGTGAAGAGAGACCATTAAGGTAGACTATCAATGGGTAGGTACAGAAGCAGCACTATTAACGACACTCAGCTATATTGCTCAGCTTTTCAAACTAGCGATTAAACTGATCCCGAACAAGGAACCATAATGCGACCCACAACCCAATCCACCGACCAGGGCTCTCAAAGCCAGTTCTCAGTACGATCACCACCGACCTTGATCCACCCACAAACCAACTTGACAGACATCACCCAGCGAGGAAGCCTATCAGGTGACATGCACACCACACACCCCAGCTAAAGTAGACTATCGAGGTGAAGTACTTGTTGCAGTGAGTGATTGTGAATATATAAAATTCTGCAACTAACTTCAGCATTGCTTGTCCTGTCCTGTCCTGTTTGACAACCCAAAATCTTGCAGTATGGTCGAAACAGCGCTGTCTGAAAACCGATAATCGGTCATTGTCCTGTTCCCGTGACGAGCAAGTTTCATATAGCAGTGCCAGTCAAACTGATGTAACATACAATTGGTCATTTCAGGCAACCGGATGTAACGGCTCAGCCAGAGGGGACTTAAGCTGAAAAACACCGACAGAGTATTCTGTATGCCTGCTGATATTAAATGTGATGTGCCCACCAGGTAAGATGTAACTGCGTAGGTAACAAAATTTGGCTACTTTCTCCATAGCTTTTTTAGACTGAGTTCAGGAGCAGCACTCTGCGTTTTGAAGATGTAAAACGCATGCCAAACATAGCTGTATAAACACTCAAGCCATAAAGAAAGGTTGCAAGCCTACCTGGATTTGCACTACAGTAAATTACGATAGTATCTCCTACGTTTCTACAGGACCGGGTTTTGCCGGCAACCAACCTCATTTCAACCAGGGAAGTAATAGAGTAGACGTCTTGCTAAAGGAGCATCTATTTTTCACCCAGTGAGCGGATAACAGATGCAATGCAGACGAGCTCAAATGGCATCTACCAACTGTAAACATTTGTGATGCCGTCGCGACAGCTGATTGTCTGTAAAAGGTTGCTGCAGCAGTTCGGCCAGCGCAGTTTTACGGGAGCAGGATAAGGATAGACCGTCGGTGTTCGAATACCGTTGTCTACGCCACAATGCATGAGTCTCTTAGGGCAACTGGACAAACAGTGATAAGATTAGACAAATAGGTTTAATTAATCACAGTCACCCACTGAAGCAACTGGTCGACCTCCATTGACCAGGTTGGTAAAGGCAGGTGCTACGCACGTCACCAAATAGACTGCCAAGGCACGTGTTTTTAGTTGAGGTAGGTGATGGGTGAAAAAAACTACACGGTTTAAACTTAGACCCGCTATGAGGGTATTAAAACCCTGACAAGAAACTTGCTCACATAGGTCACGTTAGACTCCCTGGTTAGGGACTTCGCGATCAGCGTAACTAATGACCACCGACGCTAAATGTCGCAAACAGCAGGGCCGAGGCATTTGCTTTGCAACGTTAATCTATTTGAAAGTTCTTTTATTCAAATAGGTAACTAAAAAAGACCGCCACTAAAACCGCCGTATAAAGGTGTATGGTTAATGGTTGTAAAAACTGATATTGATATCATCTGCATACTTCAGATCAGGTAAATTGCCACTATCGTAACATGCGACCACATCTCTTTTCAGAATTATATTCAGTGATTAGGTCACCTACTCGTGACCTGGTAATCTAGGGTTCGAACCGCTTCACTGCCGCGCGTCTTCTATTGTTTTATATTTTTCTAGGTAGCCTTTGTATGACCGCGGCCCCCTTCCTGAATGTTGACTGTACACTGATATATTCAATAAATAAAGAAGGTAGTAAAAACACATTTATTTATTTCCGAAGTTAGAAAGAAAAGCAGGGAAAGAAACAGGAGGCGACACTCATGAAAACAGCTTCCCATGGTGAACTCGAGCAAAAAAAGAACTCGGTTTGAGCTAATAATGGAAAAGGATCAAAATAATGAAAAAAATTTTCCCGGCACACCTTTCAAGAAAAGGCAGAGCCAGAGTACGATGTGGTCAACTGAGATCATGGTTGCCTTTAGTCACGTGTTTGTAAATCGCCAAATTAAATAACCGAATATGGAAAGGCAGCAAACGATTTGCGGAAATTCGCCTATTACAGTTTACTAAAATGTGGGGAAGAAATTCCGAGGTGAAGGATGTTATCCTTCCAAAATGCAGTACTAACTGGAATCAATACACCGCATATAAGGGTGACACCCAACTAAACAATCCTTGATGGTAAGCGAATCAACCAGCTCTTGACGGGCTCAATCATACCTGTTAGGTAGAACAACATTGGACTGGAACGGAAGTTGGAGATCGTAAACGACAGTGCCAGAAAAAAAGGCATGAGCAATCTAGTCCCCACTGGAGGATAGCACAATGATGGAAACGCATGGTAGCTGCTACTGACACTCACCTGCTTACCTCTGTCACACACAGCGTACCAATGTGTTCGCCCGAAGCCAGTTTCGGTAGATACCGACGCTGTTGTTCTTCAGTTCCGGCCATTGTAATAATCTGTGAAGTACGGCAGGTTTAAAACAGGCATTGTAGAATGTACAACGAAAACATTCGTGAAGTCCGCGCAAGTGAAAGTGAATTTTTATGTGAGACAGAACGACTGAAGTGGGTATGTGAGCTTCTTAGACCACCCTTACTGGTTCATTGTCATCTTCTAAGTTATGAAGTCTAATTGCGGTTGAGTGGTGGGATATCGTCAAACACAATGTGACAGAAGTTGTCAAAGAAACTGCAGTATTTTTGTCAAGATAAACCGAACTGAATTGCTGTGTTGGATTCTACAGGAGGATGATGCTGTTTTTATGGAGTTCCGAATGATGCGGTAACCGTTAATATGTAGACGGGTAAAATTTACAGGAGAACAAACAAATGAGGTAAACGTGATTGAGGGCGGATTGATAAACACGTCGACAAAAACACAGAGTTATATTTTTCAACACGTGAAGACAAAATAAGATCTAGGAATAAACAAACGCGAAGGAAACTGAGGTGGCAAACGGAAGACTTGCGCAGATCACCGACACACACCTCAGAGTCCTTAAGTTCTAGTTCTGCTACACGTTCGCCTTTAGCAGATGGTAATAGGCTGTCAATATAGTTAGAAATAAAGGATCAGTCGAAACTGAAACACTGCGAAGTTAATATATCTTACCGTGAGATTGTTTGCAATAATCAGTCGGTATCGAATAGAGAAAGAAACAAGATGAGACACTGTAGAACCCCAGAAGTTGCAGAAAGGGGATGAGATTGAAAATCGATGTGAGGTTATCTGGTGTCTGTCAGTAATGCAGTCTCTGACTCAAGCGAGCAACGATGCGGGTTTTCCAGCAGCTTACAGCAGGAGCGTATACCACCCTACTGACGTAAACCAACGAGTGCTTTGGAATGATTTGGTGGATAATTCGTTATCTCATCGAATAAATATTAGCAGGCTTCACTGATTAGGAGACGTAATGTGTATGCCCAGCTGTCGTCTATTGCACCGGACCTCTGGCTGTTGCTGCTCCCGGCTGGAGGAGGTAAACGGATGACGTGGACATGAGGCATGAAGAGATGCTAAAAGACAGCAACCAGCAACGGCTCAAGAAAGTGCCTGATTATTGGTTGTTCCAACTGAAAACTTCAAACTGACGAAGAGATGCAATAATGTAAAGTGCTGATGAAGACAGTAGGAGGGAGCTATTGATGCGGTTAAAGGTATTTTTTATTGATTTGAGCTGACTATCCTTCGGACTTCACCTTCACGCACAATCCTCAGTTCACCAATTCAACCATACAGTCGGAAGCACTAGACTCGAGTTTCGCTCTTATTAGAGTTCATCAGTAGTGCATATCCACCGTTCCGTCCGGGATTTGAACTCCAGACCCATCGCATGGAAGGCGTGTGCGTTACCACTGTGCCAACCAGCTTATGCCATGGATGATCCAAATTACCAACTCATGTTTGTTCAGGTGTCGTCTTCAGTGATAGTCAGTTCATTTGACCCGACAGTAACGAAGGGAGACACAGATGACATACTGTTAACTCCAATCGAAAGCCTCCCACAAGTCAGGACTTCCATGCAGGTACGGACCGATTCGCCAACGAACCCACAAGGCTGGATTGATACTTAGCATTTGACTCATAAATACTTGTGAGTAGTGTGGTGTGGGATAATATGTTTTTTTCTATTGATTTGAGCTGACTATGTTATTGCCATAATTAAAGAAACACATAAGTAATGCCATACAAGAGATATCAAGAGTACATATGACTGATTGAACTAAATGAGCATTATTACCTACAGTAGATCGTTTCCACTGTTACGTAAACTGTTTTTACGGGGGAAAAAGTTTTTCTGAGTCTTGAGTAAAATAAATGTACATCCTAGCATTGAGCAAACGAGTCGGTGAGTGAGAAATTGTTTTCCGATATTCCTAGTCATGCTCTTACATCTCATGTAGTGGAAACAATTCATACATACATTCATTCATACATTCATACATTGGCTCAATTTAAGGTCATTAATCGGAGGCAGAGAGGAGAGGGTGTGTATGTGCGTGTAAGAATGTTTAGCGTGTTAGTTGATATGACCTTCCCCACTTGGGTCAAATGACACATCATGTTCTGTCTTGGTCTTCACATCCGGCCAAGGCAATCGGAGCGCCTGCACTAGTCTTTTTTGGGCACACAGGTTGGGGCCTAATGTCAGATGGATGGAGTTGTCATGGAATCATCACTCGGTTCGTTGATAGCTGACATCTTCGTGGCTAAACTAGAAAGAAGGCTGAGCCGAACTATTGAAGGATTAGCCTACTATAGTAGATGTCTGGATAATATCTTCTGTGACCAATCGCAAAAATGGCATCCCACAGACATTGAAATCGTTTAACGAAGCACATTTATCACTGGAATTCACTGTAGAGGTTGAAACGAACACTATATTGGCCTTTCGGGATGCAGTCGTGTCCAGGAAAAAAGATGGATCAGTGAGAAGACAGATCCACAGAAAGAAAACATGGAATGGTCAATATACCAACTTCCATAGTTTCGTTCTAGTGAAATATAAGCGCAATCTAGTCCGGTGTCTAGCCTTCAGAGCCCGGAAGATTTGTTCAGCAGACACACTGGATGAAGAACTACGCTTAGTCCGTCAAACATTGCAGGACAATGGTCATCCGGAAAAGTTCATCGATAAGAATACTCGGCTCCTTCAGGAGAAGGAAAACTCCACCTGTGTCCCCAAGAAGGAACTATTCATGAGGATTTCATTTAACAGGGACTCGGTCACTGAGAGCAGCTGTAAATTTCACTTTCCCCGCAGCCAAACTTAGACCAGTGTTCTCTACATCACCGGTAATACGAATGCAAGTGAAAGACAAACTGCTGAAACTGACCTCATCCATGATAATTTACTCTTTTGAGTGAGTCTATGGCGCGCGTAACATACGCCGTACGGTAAGGCGTTTGTCTCAAGGCGTAAAAGAGCACCACCCGCGATGGTTAAGTCAAGGAAAAACCGGCTGCATCTCAAGTGCGATCGTGGGCATTTCGTCGACACCGGGCGCAAAATAGAACCGGAGAATGCTTTTGATGTTCCATCAATGGAAAAGGATGTTTACCACTTTCGATGTTATTTACCGCATCCCACTCAATCGATCGAGGGCGGCCCGAGTTTGGACACTACCTATTGCCAAGGCGATCGCCATTCGCTTACTAGGCCCCAACCTGTGTGCCCAAAAAAGACTAGTGCAGGCGCTCCGATTGCCTTGGCCGGGTGTGAAAACCAAGACAGAACATGATGTGTCATTTGACCCAAGTGGGGAAGGTCATATCAACTAACACGCTAAACATTCTTACACGCACATACACACCCTCTCCTCTCTGCCTCCGATTAATGACCTTAAATTGAGCCAATGGCTATCATTATGTATGAATTGTTTCCACTACATGAGATGTAAGAGCATGACTAGGAATATCGGAAAACAATTGTTCGCTCATCGACTCGTTTTCTAAGTGTGCATGCAATCGATTAAAACATGAGTTATTTTGTTAAGACGGTAATGATTCACAGAATCCTCCGATCAGCAGTTATGTTCTTTTTATCGACTCATCTGTTGAACAATACAGTGAGCGAAATGGTTAGCTTAAATGCACATTTAAAGATCAACATTTGTAGCCTGTTGGGCCCAGGTGCTTTGTTAGATTGAGGGTATGTGAATTTTGTCACCACTTGACTGTGGGTAAGAAGAAACTCGGTGTGATCTGTGAGATAGA